CAACTACTGAGCTTTTAATTCAATGAGTACAAATTAAAATTTTGTATAATCTAAGTGATTCCACTTTCTAGATTTGTTAGTTCCTTATATCTATTGAGGATGCTATTTAAACTTATTCTAAAATTCTGGTTTTCTTTTTTCTCTAACCATTTTTTGGAGGCAGTCTTTCATTCATTCAGCTTGATTTCTTTGTAGTCAGCTTGAGTGGAAAAATGGATTTGCAGCTGAACTGTTTTTGTGAGATAAAGGGGAGAGGACTTCCCTGGTGGCGCAGTAGTTAAGAATCCACCTGCCGAACACAGGTTCAATCCCTGGTCTGAGAAGATCCCACATGCTGTGGAGTGACTAAGCCCATGCACCACAACACCTGAGCCTATGCTCTAGAGCCCAGAGCCACAACTCCTGAAGCCCGTGCACCCTAGAGCCTGCACGTCACAACTACTGAACCTGTGCCCCACGACTACTGAAGCCTGTGCCCTCTACGGCCCATGTGCCACAACTACTGAGACTGTGTGCTACAACTACTGAAGCCCGTGTGCCTAGAGCCTGTGCTCTGTAATGAGAAGCCACTGCAGTGAGAAGCCCGTGCACTGCAATGAAGAGTAGCCCCCGCTTGCCACAACTAGAGAAAGCCCAGGTGCAGCAATGAAGACCCAATGTAGCTAAAAAAAAAAAAAAAAAAAAAAAAAAAAAAAAAAAAAAGAGAAAGAGATAAAGGGGAGATATATTTTCGTGTTATGGGGTATCAGGTTACCTTACTGGTTAGTACTGTGGATGTGGGTACTTCCCTTTCCTTCTAGGGCATTACCAGCAACTGGCCTATGAATCATGTCCAAGTTCCCGCACCTATTGCTTTCTTCTGAAGGCAAACAGTTGTAGTCATGTAGACATGCTGTGCAGGTTCAGTCTATTTATTGCTTTTGGCTTAGTACCCTTCCCCCATCAAATAAACACCAGTTGTTTATTATGTCTTCCTTCCTACTTCTTATTCTGACAAATGTTGAGCTTGGAACACCATTGGTGAGTCACTCTCACCTTTCGTAGCAGTGCTGTTTTGTGTTTTGGCTTGTGGTTTTCTTAGGTAAAAACTGTTTTTTTTTTTTTTGTTTGTGTGTGTATGTAAAATAGTTTCAGTTTACCATATATGTAAAAATCTCTTTGTCCTACTGAGTTGAAGTTCACTTTAATATACAATACACTTTGTAAAATATCTGCAATGCTTCTGAACTTTGTATTCTGTTCCATTCATATTGCCTGTATAATTACTCACCAGTACTACAATGTTTTCATTATTCAGTCTTTAACATAACACAAACAACATCTGGTATGATTATTCTTCCACTGTTGTTCTTTTTCAAACATTTTCATGTTATTCTTCCTTATTTTTCCAAATGAACTTTATTTTATTTTTGGCTGCATTGGGTCTTCCTTGCTGTGCACGGGCTTTCTCTAGTTGTGGTGAGTGGGGGCTACTCTTCGTTGTGGTGTGCGGGCTTCTCATTGTGGTGGCTTCACTTGTTGTGGAGCATGGGCTCTAGGCACGTGGGCTTCAGTAATTGCAGTACGTGGGCTCAGTAGTTGTGGCACGTGGGCCCTAGAGGGCGTGGGCTTCAGTAGTTGCAGTGCATGGGCTCTAGGGTACACGGGTTTCAGTAGTTGTGGCCTGTGGGCTCAGTAGTTGTGGCTCACAGGCTCTGAGTGCAGGCTCACTAGTTGTAGCACATGGGCTTAGTTGCTCCATGGCATGTGGGATCTTCCCAGACCAGGGCTTGAACCCGTGTCCTCTGCATTGGCAGGTGGATTCTTAACCACTGCACCACCAGGGAAGTCCCTCCATATGAAGTTTAAATTAAAAAATATGGAATGCTTCACGAATTTGTGTGTCATCCTTGTGCAGGGGCCATGCTAATTTTCTCTGTATCATTCCAATTTTAGTATATGTGCTGCCGAAGCGAGCACTGAACTTTAAATTTAACATGTCTAGTTCTTGAGAGAAAAAACATGCTGGCTTTTTTATGGGGGATCACATGAAGTTTGTACTGAATTAAGAGAATTATCGATGTCTTTTTATGCTGTTGAATGTTCTCATCCAAGAATAGGATATGTTTCCCAAGGTTAAAATGCATTTGTCACTTAGGAGTGTTTATTGTGTCCTTCATAAATTTTGCTAATTTCACCTTAAGTTTTTTGCTTTAAAAATACATTCCCTAATTCTAATATGAAACTATTATTTTTATATATGAAGACTAGTAATTTCAGTATATTAATTTTATATTCCATTACCAAACTGAATTCTCTGGTTGTCTGTGGCAGATTTTTACTTGATTTTCTTGAGTTTCCCAGAGATACAATCATATCTGTACATTGTTAGTTTTTTAGCCCTTTTCCCCAAATTTTACATATCTAATTTCCTTCTGTGTCAGTGAATAGTAGGGTTGATGGTGAGTACCTTTGTTTTTTTCTGAATTTAGCAGGAATGCCTCCACTGTTTCCTCCTTAAGTCACTGGCTTTTAAGCTGC